GGGTTTAAGGTTGAGGTTCAGGGTTTACGGTCTAGGGGTTTTGGAGGTTTCGGGTTTAGGATTTAGGGTTAAGGCCAAATCCATAAATTTAATTTCCATAAACAAGCCCAAAACCCCTCCTGCCTAGCAAAGCGCCACAATCTGTGCGAGGGTCTAGTCCAAACCACCGAATTTAATTGGAAATCTCAATCCCCCAATGCAATGCAAGCCTTGAAACCTCAAGCCCTAAACCCCTCTACCCTAAATGCCCAAACCCCTAACCCCTAATCCGTAAAACTCCTTTATATAAGATTAGAACATATATATATATACACATATATATATAGTACAAGCTATAAACCGAACCTGTACCAATGAAGCACAATTAAGAATCTGGCTGTTCGGACCGTCAGCCGGTGTAAAAACGTATTCAAAGAAATCCTAAATATTTACAACTTATATATATATGCAATAATATCATATAATGTTTATAAGCTGCATAACATATTTATCTTGATAAGTTGGGTGCAAAACATGTATATATATATGATATGATATATTGGTATATACATGGTGTATATATACCTATGCCCGTATATGTTTATAATAAGTATTATATCAGCGAGCCTCAACATCATCCTCGAGCTGACTCGGCTCGTTCGCCAAGGCAATGTTCTGTTCCAGCACATCTTCGGGGTTCGTAGTTCCTGCAGCAAGATATTGCTTGAAAGCTTGTACTCTATATGGTATCTATGCGATTACAAAGTAATCTTCACACGTGGATATGGGTGCCTTCAAGGGCTTCTTTCACAAGCTGCTTGAGGATCCGGATCTTCTTCTTCCTGTGCAATGCATGCAGTAGCTAGGTCTATAATCGATTGAGGGTTCCAATCCTTGCAGCATCGGGAGCTCGAGCAGCGAGGGACAGCCCGTGGACCGCGATAGTCCGCCCAACCGCGGCAGTCATAGTCGACCATTCCTGTGTAACATATATGTACACACATATATATATATATATAGTAGCTAGACCGAGGCATTTTATGCATTGCAATTGCACACTTCGCGAGCTGTCCTTGATGACCTTTTTCTTCGTGCCGCCGGGGAAAAAGCCGTATCGGATTGCCAGCTTGCGAATGGCAGCCTTGCAAAGCTTAAGTAGATTCGGGGGAGGGGATGAGTTAAACATGCAACCTAGAAGTATGTATCCCGCTTTGTGCCCGATGTCCTTCCAGGACTTCAGGGGAGGAATCCCCATCGCAGCGAAACTGGAGTACACATCCATCAGTACGAGGAAGTTGAGTTCCACCTTGGATGGTAATTAGCTTCATGTTCCAGTACTCGTCTCGGTTATCCGCACATCTAACGATACATATTTTCTTTCATATTTTTTAAAACAAGCTACTGAAGCGGCACTGTCTGGCCCGTCCGAGGCAACTTGGAAGAATTGGCCCTGCACGGACAGACGTATTGAGACCACACGTCGAAACCCAGCCCAGCTTGTGCCTGCCTGGTTCTTGCGAAGCGACAGTAAAGTGTCCTCGTCCTCCACCATATGGCCCCGAAGGATTTCCTGCAAATGGAGGTTCATGATTTTGTTAAAATTTTAAACACTGCCCGTGCAAATGAAGTATATATATATATATTATGTATATGTGTGTGTACTGTACGTATACTCGAATGATCGGTACCAGTTTTTAGTTAAAGCTACCATCACATCATACATGTATATATATATACACATAGCTAGAGCATCATGGGGTTGGCGAGCGAACACGTCTTCATGACGACGTCCGCGAGGAATACGACAAGGACTCATTATTGTAACGAGGATGGTATATCTGTCGATGTGTGTGTGTATATATACATATATATATATGTGTGTGTACAATAATACACATACATATGGTAATAATGTTTGTGTGTGTATATACATATATTTACACATGTTTACATAAATATATATATATACCGCAAGAGATGAAACTTCCTGCACATGATGTGTATGAGTGATATAATACATGCATACACACATACGGTACGGTTTATCTGTCCTCCAGCAGCAATTGTGCCGCGAGGCCATCATGCTTCCAGTTCAGCAGCATCACGTTAACACACTGGCACGTACTGGCCTGAAACATGAAATGCCACATGAGCATGCACAGCTAACAAAATCCTTGAAATCCGGACGGCCAGTATTGCATGCATCCCTCGCGACCGCAATGCAAACGTACGACACATGCAGAGCCGGGAGGGTGCACCAGGTTGCTCGCCCCATTCAGCACGAACATGTTCAGGAACCGCTGGCTGCCTGCAGTGCATGGAGGGTCCCATCGACCATAGTGTATGTCGTATGCTATCTACATGATGCATGCACATATATATACATATGTATATATGTACATATATACAACGAGTATATAATTACACCGAAACGATCGCACCCACACGTCCACACGTAGATATAGCCTTGCATAGCTGGTTTTATTTATCAAATGTAGAATATATATATATATATAAAAGCCCTATTTATTCACCAAGTTTTTATATATAGTGATATATATATATCTCACTTTAAAATTTTTTAAAATTTTATTTTGACATTGTAGACTATATATATACACATTGTGTGTACATGCATATGTATATATATATATATCATATACATCACAACATGTAGTAAGCACATGACGTTTTATTTTGGGTGTATCGTCAAATACAGAAATTCTTTGAACCCTGAACCGACAACCACAGAAGCCCTGGTAAACCTCAAAGCCGCGAGCGAGCAAATATAAGCAGCTGCCTCTAGATCTGGATGCTATACTCTGAATCGACTGGTTTTGGGCGAAGCCAATTTTACTTAACCCGAAACGGGGACCCTGTAGGGTACTTAAAATATATATTTGTAACCCTTATATATATATA